CATTCCCCAGTGGGCCCGCTGTTGTGGTAATGCCCCGACTAGTTATCCCCAGGTAAAAAATGGCGACTCTCAATCCTGCCGGGGGGAAAAAAAAAAAAAGTGGGGATGATTTTTATTTATTTTCCCCTCGATCCCCCAAAGATCATCCTGGAAATATCCCACACTGCCTAATAAAACATTAAGAAAAAAAAAAGCGTAAAGATTTATGTTACACTAGTGCCACTAAATAAGCTACGCTTCAGAGTAACGACACTTGACCATATTGTGTCTTAAAATAATGGTTGCCAGTTATCTGAAGATTTATCTGAAATCACGGGAAACGCTTTTCCGCCCTCCACAAAATGTTTAAACAGTTCGCGACAGAGGAAAGCAATATTACATGAGCTTCCTAACACAGAATATAATGCTGAGGAAGTCACACTTTTGAATCATGACTATCGGCAGTTGCGTCTGCTCTGCATACGAGCCAAAATGGCGGCGCCCACAACAATGCCTAGGAACGGAGTGCCGATACTCTAAGCGCAGCTCATTTAGTGGCTCTACGTTACACGTAAGGTGAGACACTGTGTTAGCTGAGGTGTGAAATCAGAGCCCGTAAGGTGTCATTCCGGAGCAGATGAACTGTATGTCAGTACAGCTATTAACATCTAACCATCCATCCATGGTTCATGCTACCACTCGTTATAAAGGGTACAGCCATTAACAGCCGTTCATCCATTTATTTAATCGCGAAATGACGATCGGCTTAGTGTACTCGCAAATGTTTCTTTCTGCACTGTACTTCCCTCTACCACTGGAGCCCCTGCTTGTTTCCTAGTATCAATGAGACAGTGACAGAAATCAATCTCGTAGGACGCTTGAAATAACCCAAGGACGCGAACAACAGAACGTCAACGCGACGAAATCGCACTCCCGAAACGCGAACCGAGAGCTTGGTTCGATTCCGTATAGAACGACATCGAGACGTCCTAAAACGCGAAATGACCTCGTCGGTTCGGGGGAGCGGCACTCCAGATACACGTACAAATGCTCGGTAAGCTAATCGACTTTGACCCTGGACGATAGCAGCTCGTGATGGATTTCAGCATCGATTTCCCATAATGTTGTTCCCAAATCCCCTAATGTATGTTTGTTTTCCCCGACCCCCCGCCTGGCTCATGAAGGTAGCGAGCAATGACACGCCGCTAGATGCCACGAAGTGCAAATGTCGTCTCCTGGCTTGCACTGACGTCGCACAAGCTGCCATTGTGTGCCGTCCTCGCTGCCGAGCACGTATACGCTCCACGACATTGTAGTTGGGATACTAACCTACGCGGTACATTTTGTTGCCTGTTAGTATACCACCAGTATGATACGATGCTACGAAGTACAAGTCATGCATAACACGATACGAAGGAATACGGAACGCCCCGTGAAGTCATTTCAGGTGAACCATCAAATGTTCGTATACAGAAGCCTTAAGAAATGTGGCTCATTATTTCACAAGTTTTATAAAAAAAAAAATCTGCTGAAAAAAGTACCGTGTGAGGCGTGGCTATCTAGACTCAGTTAAAAGCTATAACATATTCAAATATTATTGCAAATTTAACGTTTCTCCCTTTTAAAGCCCTCACTCACTACCCCCCCCCCCCCCCCCCCCCCCCCCCCCCCCGCCTTTGTTCATACGTTGCTTCGCTTTGATTTTCCACGGCGGGAAGGTTTGTCGTGGGCCCCCTTGTAGCAGGCTCTTCAGGGAGGATATGAACTTGCCGTTTTATGGTCGTGCTCGTCGACGAACTTAAAATGCACAGCTTTCCGTGTACTCCATTTCCTAGGAACATAATGTAATGATGGGGGCTCCAAGACTGGGACCCACATTTATCTGTCAAAAGTGTTTCGCTCATGTCGCGTTGTAAGCATGCTCACTGCCCTGACGCAGCGCACCTCGGGAGAACTCGAAGTCGCTCAAACTTTAGTGACGTTTGCCTGTCGTTCAAAATGTGCAGCATTCTCTTCACTACTCTTTCGTCGACGTTCAAAGCATCGATCTATATTATTTTTACTGGTAACTCATCGATTATTTTGTATACTTTAATTCTTTTGTTTTCGCAGTGTTGCCAACAGTTACTCACGGGAGAGAACAACTTGTCCCGTCAACGCACGACGCCTGCATTTTGTTTTCTGCCTTGATGTACACAGCGCGACAATGCTAACGCAAACACGCCATTTTTTCTGCGTTTTTTTTGAAATGGCATTGTTGGACATCAAATTTGACCTCTCAAGTCAGTACTCCGAAGAAGTACTTCCCACGGCATCAGTAGCTTTGATGACCAGTCCTTTAAATCTAAGTAAAAAGAAAAAAAAAGAAAAAAAAAAAAAGATACGGCGATTGCTTGCTTGCACTCATAGTGTCGCCTAGTAAACTACATCTCCTCGGGGCCTGCAATATCGTTAAATAAATAGATAAACCTGGATGGCCCGCGTTATCAACCCCGGGACAACCTTCACCGAACCCTTCGCGCCACTGAAACGATTGAGTACGCGTGACATGTATTGATATTTTATACACCTCTTTGAACACACGACAACTCTCACTCGGCAATTTTTTGTTTCCCCCTTCTGTTCGGTTTCGCAAGGAGTTTCAAGTTCAGGAGCTGACCGAGTTACCCGCTCACCTTGATTCCGGAGAAACAGCGCGCGGACGCAGGTGGCCTTCACTGCGCGTGCGCGCAAAGTAAACCAACTGCGAGGTTGAAAAATAAACCGGTTCGCCACGAGGATGGCCAAGGACAACGGCCCATTCCTTCGCATCCGTCGCGCTTTCATTTCTCAGCTACGTACACACACGAAGTCGAGTATCTAAAATAGCCGCACCTCGTGTACAGCGGACACGTTCGCCAAATACAAACACACGTACCGGTTTATCCCTACTAGAGTCTGCGCTTGGTGCCCCACAGCCCGGCTGCCTTCATGCGCGCTTTGCTTAGGGTGATGATACATGATCACCAATGTGTGCCGAACGGTTATCCTGCTTTTTTTATTTTTGTTCTGGAGCGCTTGAAAGAGCGTCTGCCGGCAAGTGCTCTTTGCGTTGACTGTGCTATGCGGCGGCATTTTGCTTCCGTCAGTCTTGGCTAACTTAGCCGAGACTGACATATCATCATGGACATATAATCTGTCAGTTTCACAATATCCGTTACGTGTCGTCATAATCAGCGATATTGAAAGAGCGAAACCTCGTACCGTATTTTCCGGTTTATATATCCGCGTCTTGTGCTTAGCCAAAACGGAAATCTTCTCGTACATTGCACAGCTTGACAAATGTCTGCTTTCTTAGCTCGGAGAGAAGCTTGTATCATACATAAATCATCATTAACACACTCTTTCCTTCCCAAAATTCGTCACGTCTCGTCATAATAAACGGTCTTGAGAAACAAAATTCCCTTTTAGTTCGCAAGATAGTTCGCACAGCCTAAAATTATAACTTTTAAACATGTATAGAGCGTGCAAACCATAGCCCGGAAAATACGATATATATATATATATATATATATATATATATATATAAAGAGAGAGAAAGAGAGAGTCTGCACCTGTAAAATTTAAGCTTTTAAAAACGTGTAGTCCGCGGACTATGATCTGATAAATGCAGTACAGACCAACGCCCGTCTCCAAATGTGCACAAACACACACGTGCACGCAAATGTGCGCACGCAAATATATTCACTCACACACGCTCACACACACACAGACGTGCGTACACGGCTATGCACACGAACAAACTTATGTATACACGCGCGCACACGATATATGTTACGCGAGCACACAGACGCGAACACACGAAGTCACGGATGAGCACGCACGCATGCAGACACACGCACACACATACACACGCGCGCGCGCGCTTAAAATGCCGGAAGAAATAACAAGAAGAAAACGAACGTGTGACAGAGTGTGGAAATTATTACCTACTGCAACAGGCGGAAACGATCGCGATCCAGAAATTGCTATGCAGAAAAATAAATTACTCTTCGTCGATAGCGCCCGGCCCGTAATTCGATTCAGACTCGCAGCGCTTTTCGCCACACTCTCATCTCAGCCGCGGCAGGAGAGAACGCGAAGGTCGGCGCAGCGCAGCACACGCTCGAGGTCTAATCTATTGGGCCCCCAACTGCTCCTAAGCGCGACCAATATGAAGCGGAAGCGTTGAGGTGAGGCCACTTTCGCCGTATGCGCACCTTATGGCGATCCGTTCGAGCACGAACGCGTAAAAATGCCTGACGCAAATTCTCTTTCAAATATAGCTCCAAATTGACTCCTTCTTCCTTCGGAAAAGGTTAGTCTTTTCTGTGCGTCAGGCATGGCGTGACACCCGTTAAACATTTGTGCACAATGGAATCGTTCGAGGGCTATAGGCGGCCACTGTACGATGCACTCGAGTTCGTTAGTACGGGAACTCGAATACGTTGTTAGAGCCAATATTCACCAAGTATAAAGTTTTTTTTTTTTTTTTTTTTAACTTTATTGGTTACAGGTTTTTTGCTTAAAAAAAAAAAAAAAACGAAGGCTACGCTTATGCGGTTTGTGCGAGTGAGTTATACGGCCAGGGGGAACTATGTGAGTGGCTGATTTTTGCGATAAGTCGGCTAATTAATTCAAATTCGTTAGTTAACTTTTTAATTAGTGAAAATAGACACATGGTTTCAATTGGAAACTTACTGAGCGTCATCGAAAATCACTGAATCAACTCTTTTGAGAACGACTTGAAGCTCGTGGAACTGAACTGAACTTTTGGGGTGCATTATAGGGAACAAAATGGTGTAAGGTGATACGCTTTTTTTAATAGGGTGTGTCCTTCTCCCAGCATTGACCTTTGTAGAGGCTCGTCAACGCCCATTTCGGTGTCTCGGTATCTCGGCACGACGAGAGAAGGTCAGCAATGGCGGACGTAATCTGGAGCGTGTGCAAAGCGTCCCTACGAAGCACCGCGGTGCATACATGGACACGGCAAACTGGCGTACCGACATGATGCTGGGGAACCGTTGTCCGTCCTGGATGGCGAACTCCCCGGAGGGCGTCACGTCCACCTTGTAGTGCTTCACCGAGTCGCCGTGGCTGAGGCAGAGAGCGTAGCTGCTGTCGTCACGCTCGCGGACCCTGCGAAATGTCACGCCCAATCACCGACTCGAAGAGCTGCAGAAAATTCCACGCTTCGGATTCGAGTGCCACGGAACGCGACTTCGACTGGTTTGTTTGCCACAGTACACTGTACTGTGGAAGCAAGAGTCTCCCACCACGGCCAGAGGCCGCTGCCGAATGCCCAAACTGGACAACGGCCGAGGCGCCCAATAGTGCACGTAGGACAGGCGCAGAAGCCTATAAAAGAGGGCACACGCCCACAGAACGGGGGGAAGACGGACCGTGGTCACGGAGGCGTGCAGTTCCAACGCTCCGGCAATGTTTTACGTTTATACTAACAACCCATTTCTGTCACGTTAATGAATGTAGTTTCTCGTTTTGGAAACCCGGGCTTCGTGTTGTTCCTCCCGGATGGGCATGCAGCAAGGCAACCCTACCACAGTACTTAAAGTATTATTTTGGGTATGTTTAGAAAGCTTAATTGTACTCTACCGGAAGTGCTCTTACTGAGTATGAACACTGACAGTTTCCGAGGAAAGTAGAGCTGCGGTCTTTAAATTTGGCCTCGTTAAATTTGTATCCCAATATGACGCGTTGTCAACAATAGTTCGTCAGCAAGAGTAGAGCAACTACTGTGTGGCCACTTTACTTTATCCAATATTCGCCGCCATCTCCGCAAACAATTTATCCGTCCACGATTATCCCTAGAACCGTGCATACCAGTAAAAAAAGAAAAAGAAAAACAAACTGTATCGGGGAATGAAAGGGCTTCACGAAACATTGTGCTAAAAGTGCTTGCACTCTACTTTGGAAGTACCAGCGTTAGGTACATGTAAAAACTACTAAAGTACATCTAAAAGTACTTAAAGTAAAGTACAAAGTAAGTAAAAGGTTACGTACTTCAAGTGAAGTAGTAGGTACACCAGGCGCAATCTACTAGAGGTAAGGTACTATAAATACAATGTACTTTCAAAGTAAATTACAAGCACTTTTTAACACAATCTTTTATGATCACGTTCATTTCCTTCTGCAGTGCCTTTTTTAAACCTGGTATTAGTGGCGTAGGCGGGGGGAGGGGAGGGGGGCGGAGAGCTTCTGAAGCGTCAGCCCCTTCCCCCCCCTCCCCCCCCCCCCCCCCACGCTTATGGTCAAGAGGTCCAACGAGTCAAAAGGTCCAACGAGTCAAGAGGTCCAATAGCCACGTGACAGCCGAGTCAAGAGGTCCAACGAGTCAAAAGGTCCAATTCGAGTCAAGAGGTACAACGCGTCAAGAGGTCCAACGAGTCAAAAGGTCAAATTTGTGTCAAGAGGTCCAACGCGTCAAGAGGTCCATCGAGCCTTATTTTTATCTTCTCTGTTTATAATGATATTGCATTAATGACTGCTTGTGACGGTTTCTGGCTGTTTGAACTATTTGAATTGTTTTGGACAATACAAGTACTACATGGTCATTGGAGACAAGTAGACAGATACTATTTGCCACAAGGTATATGTATTTGAGTGTTAAATAATGGATAGTGCCTGGTGACATATTTCGTACTTGTAGAACTTAATATCTGTGTTCCAGTCTCTCTGTTCTAGGACTCAGTTATGTCATTTCTACGGAAGTGTCTCTAAAATTCCCGAGATATAAACTACAAATGTACCTCAGCCCATCTCGCGTTTAGCCTTCCCTTTCATGTATCTCAGTATTTGTAATCGCTAATACTTCCTTGGGTAACTTTGTCCAGTCCCGGGTTCTCGTATGTTCTATTAAAAATATGATGCACTACTATTTTATGCTTTAGTTTTTATTCACTGAGTTCACCGAATCACTAAAGAGGTATAAATAACACAACATAGAAAGAAGCTCGAATATCATTGGAGGGTGTCTTTAAACGAGCCCAGATTATGCCACTTGGGGTCCAACAGAGTGTTGCAAATGAATGCGAGCATTGTCTTCTTGAAACGCTGTGACCGGTGCAAGCTATAGCGGGTTAATTTGGGCCGTTGGCTTACTCAAAAGCACGGAGCAGCCACAAATATTTATGCTAGCTATATATAACTCATTTACTTTTCTTTATTTTTAGAATGCTGTGAAATAAATCATGAAACTGAACGTTTCATGATTAAGCATTCTTGACACGAATTACGGAACACTTATCTGTCAATATAATTTATTTTTAGTTAAAATTACGCGATGTGTTTGTCGGTTAGAATTGTAAGATGGTGGTTTAGTTGCTCAATACTTTCTAGAAAATTGGATTATAAAGACTGAAGTCGATTGAAGAATTGTTCGTGTCAGAAAGCACGTAGATCTTTGAAGCCGATAGATCTAGTGTGTCCAGTGCTATAGTTAAAATAGACCACGGCGAACGGAAAAAATGAGTAAGTTTACACGCCATCTGCGCCAGGTCATACTGTGTTTTCAAGCTCCTCGAAGACCAAGGACTTCAAAATATCAATGAAGCTATTTTGATGGGACGTGAACAAATTATATTAATTACTACAACTTTTAAGAATGATGACACAGAAATTAAGAAAAAAAAAACTATGTTCATTTATCCTGACGACAAACGCAGCAATAGTGCTTTAATGTGATGGTCGATGTCGAAATAGCAAATAACTATGGACATATCTTTCGTATGTGACGGAACATGTGTTCAAAATGGTTTTACAATTATTTCGAACCCGGATGTCAAAGTAGTCACTTCTTGAAAAAAAAAAAAGGCTTCTCGAATTGTGAAATGTTAAGACCTTTCCGGTTGCGTGTCCGATATTCGAGGGGGAAAGCAACACGGGAGATGCAGATTTACGAATTTGTGGTCAGGGGTAGAAGAGCGAAGTCACACAGGTCCCCGACAAACGAATCTTGCTATAATCTTGACAGTTTATAACAACAATGATTTCTGGTGTTTACAAATCCAGTGCCCAGCATGCGATTCCCACAGCCCAGCGCGCGCGTATTTGTCGCTTTAGAAACTAAGCAAATCACGGGTTATACGCACCAGCACTGATTCCATCACCGGCCAGAAACGATTCATCAAAGCCGTGTTCGTGAGATCCCCCCTGCCGTGTGGAAGTCTTCACAGCTCAACTTTTCGCTCTTTTTCCGATATTTTTCTTCTCCGGCTTTATTATCAGCCTCTCTGTTGTCTGCTTTTTTAATGCGTGAGTATTACCTGGCTTAGTCAGCGAAAAAGCCGTCGGCAAAATCCGTGACTTGTTCAACACAATCCCCCCCCCCCCCCCAACATAATAATAATAATAAAAAACTCAGGTTGCGTGATATCTTTGGTCACGTGATCTCCCTGGTCACGTGATTTCTCTGGTCACGTGACCTATCTGGTCATGTGACCAAACAAAAAAGAAAGAAAAGTCTGTGGTCACTTTGGACAAAAAAAAAAAAAAACTCTGGTCACGTGACCTCCCTGGTTACGTGAGTACGAAACCATCCCCTGCCTGGTTTTGAAACTAGGCCCTCTTGATCGCGCAACTAGCGGGCTATCCGTTGCGGCAGCACAACTCGGGAAAAGCTAGTGCTCGCGCATTCTCACATCGTAAGAGAAAGCTTAGGTGACCTCATAATTTGTTTTCTCATTTTTTGCCTGTATTTATTTCACACCCCTTGCCTGTACATATTTCACACCAAGAGATGCAACGAGCAAAGCTGTCCTAATATTGGACCTCTTGACGCGTTGGACCTCTTGACACATCGAGGCACGAGTCAAGAGATCCAATATGGGTCAAGAGGTCCAACGCGTCAAGAGGTCCAACGAGTCAAGAGATCCACGGCGAGTCAAGAGGTCCAACCCGTCAGGAGGTCCAACGCGTCAAGAGGTCCAATATTGGACCTCTTGACTCGTTGGACCTCTTGACGCGTTGGACCTCTTGACTCGGAATCCCCCCCCCCCCCACCCCCCGGGAATACCCCCCCCCCCCCCCTCCCCTTTCCGCAGCCCAAGTAATGGACATCCCAGCCACCTCAACCCCCACCCCCTCCCCCCGTCAAAAAAAAAAAATCCTGGCTCGCTACGCCATTGCCTGGTATGCGCTGTTAATGGTGCGATCGGGAGTGGATCAGTTATTTTCGGAAATGGCGTTGAATATTGAATAAAATCGAGTGGCTACAAAGTTTACTCTCGCTGACGGACTATTTAACATAATCAACTTATAAGGCACTTTTTCGTTGAGAAAGCATAATTTTGGTATACAAATTTAACAAGACCAAATTTGGGGAATGTACTCTAAAATTGGCAGTTCTACATTCCTCAGAAAATACCAGAAAAAACAAATACACCTTAAGTACAACTACATACTCAAAGAATGTACTTAAAGTCAAGTAAAAATATTCTAAACCTTTTGAAGTAGACCTTTAAGTACAATGTGATTCAAGCACTTCCCAACACTGGAAAGTACATTGCATGTATAGTACTTTATTTCAAATAAAACTTGCGGCCGGTATACTTACTACTTTGCTGAAAGCACGTAACCCGTCATTTACTTTGTACTTTACTGCACGTACTGTTTAGATGCACTTCACCCAAGACTGCGCGAAAGTGGCGAGAGATTTCGTCACAAGATCCAAAATGTCGTGCATAAATTATACCGAGGGCAACGTGGTTTATACGCAGCGCTTGCAAATTGCATGGCGGACGCTTCCTCTAGAGATTGGTCGCCACTGCGCATGCGCTGTGTTTACGCGTGGCGAGGAGGAAAACAGGCGGAAAGGCGGAGGCGTTTACAGACGATCGACGCCCTCGTCACTTTCTCGCAGCTCGTGTACTGCAAACGCAGCCCGTAAACCACGTGATTCCGATCGAACAGTTGGACACTCTTTTTGATGCAGGCTCTCTATGTCACCGTCTTGCGTCTGCTTTGGTTTCCGACGACCGTCTTCCGGCAGAGTGCCGCACTAGCGGCCGGGTGCCGCACCCGCCTATTTTGCGGTGCCACCGCCAGGATCGCGGCCGGCAACAGCGTGACAATTCATGACGTCATCAGGTGGAAGTCGAGGGACCACTTTTGGGGATGCGGTA